GTGACAGATATTTTGTGGTATAAGGTATATCAGAGAACGGTGACAGATATTTTGTGGTATAGGGTATATCAGAGAACGGTGACAGATATTTTGTGGTATAGGGTATATCGGAGAATGGTGACAGATATTTTGTGGTATAGCGTATATCGGAGAACGGTGACAGATATTTTGTGGTATAGCGTATATCAGAGAACGGTGACAGATATTTTGTGGTATAGCATATATCAGAGAACGGTGACAGATATTTTGTGGTATAGCGTATATCAGAGAACGGTGACAGATATTTTGTGGTAATGAGTATATCAGAGAACGGTGACAGATATTTTGTGGTATAGAGTATATCAGAGAACGGAGCATTCAGTGAAGGTTTTGTCCACCTGGTTTTGGTAGCAAAGTTAATTAACCTTTCATTATTATGTGATGTAACAGCTAAACTACGCAGACATCCTGAAGAAAGTAGAGCCACTGAGGAATGAGTTACAAGGACTGGAGGACCAAGCTGAGGAAAACCGACTCAAAGGTGACGAGGTCAACAAGCTTATTGGTGAGCTTGAGCGCAGCATTGCCAAGTACAAGGAAGAGTATGCTGTCCTCATCTCTCAGGCTCAGGCCATCAAGTCTTCCCTGTCCTCTGTACAGGCCAAGGTCAGTAGGTCAAGGTCTCTGGTCAGTCTTATGTAACAGGTGACCTATGTTTGGTCTTGTGTAAATGGTTGCTCAGTGTAAAATATTGTGTAAAGGGTTACTCTTTGTGGAAGATTGTGTAAACGGTTACTCAGTGTAAAATATTGTGTAAAAGGTTACTCTTTGTGGAAGATTGTGTAAACGGTTACTCAGTGTTGAATATTGTGTGATGGGGTTTGTTTTATTTATCGTTGTAGGTGGAGAGAAGCGTTGCCTTACTCGACAGTCTTGGAAACGAGAAACAGCGTTGGGAGGCCGGTAGTGAGACCTTCAAGAGTCAGATGGCCACTATTATTGGTGACGTACTACTGTCTTCTGCTTTCATGGCCTATGCTGGTGAGTCAACTTAAACAGATCATGTTTATGGTGTCATTTGTGTGCACATACAGATAATGTTAACTTGGCTACATACCCTTGCTTTAAGTATCCTCCAGAAACCTAGAAAATGAATGAAAACATTCCTTAACTCTTACTGGACTGTGGCTTTTTACCCCTGTATTGATGCAAATGTATAGTTTCTGTTATTTGTACATGTTGCTGTTTTGTAGGTTACTTTGACCAGCAGATGAGGAGGAATCTATTTACCAGCTGGTCATCCCACCTCCAACAGGCACACATCCAGTTCAGGTCAGATCTGGCTCGAGTGGAGGTAAGTGGCCTGTGTTATATGAAAGTCTAGTATGCCAACTACCTGACGTTTAATAGGAATCATCTTAATGTAATATGCTGACAATTTGACTAAATGATCACACCTAACCTTGTTGTTGTTTTACTGACTGGGAGTTGTTTTGTTTACAGTACCTGTGTAATGCTGATGAGAGACTGAGGTGGCAGGCGAATACCTTGCCAGCCGATGACTTGTGCGCAGAGAACGCCATCATGCTGAAGCGATTTAACCGTTACCCACTCATCATTGACCCGTCTGGTCAAGCCACAGAGTTTATCATGAATGAATACAAGGACAAGAAAGTCACTAAGACCAGGTAGGTCAACCAATTGGTCAGTGTTACTCATAACAAGTAGGAGAGTGTGAACTTGACCAGGAAGGTCAAATACCCCTAGTGTCCAGTGATCAGTGTAATGACTATCTTATAGGTGAATTGACCTGATTAGGAAGCTTGAACCCAACCAGTGTCCTATAGTCCACTTGTGTGCTTTCGGTAACAACTGACATTGAGATAGTTTACTTAATCTAACATTATAACAAAATATCAGCGGCTTTTCACAATTCATACCACTTTTTACTCAAAAATGTGTGGTGTTATTTCAGATAAAAGAAATTGAAGCAACAATGATCTTTCAAAGTTTTTTCTACATTATCAAGTAGAAGACTGTCATATATTTTAAAAAGGTGCAAGTAGTAAATTTTCTTAAAATCAAATCTGTAGTTTCTGGAGATGACTCAGAGATGACTTAAATGAAGGAAGAACTGCAGAAATCAATTGGATATTTTGTTCATGCCCTAAAAACTGGAATATCAAACAAATTTGGTTAAAGCTAAGAAGGTCACACAGGCAGGAATATATCATTACAGAATATGTTGGCGGAGTGACAAATACTTTCTTTTACTAGTGTTAATTGGTATTTTATTTATTCTCAATTTTGGTTTATTTCAGTTTCCTAGATGATGCCTTTAGGAAGAACCTGGAGAGTGCACTCAGGTTTGGTAACCCATTGCTTGTTCAGGTAAATATTTTTCTGCTCAAGTTTGGTGAATATGATTTTTTTTTTTTAAAGTTTTAAGATTCTATAGTTCTGTGCAATGATAAAAATAATTAATATATCTTTTTATATCTAAGCAAAGTTTTTTGATCCACCAAGTCTAAAGAATTCCTCAAATAAACAGAAATGAATGGGGAGCTTTGCCATCAGATGATATGTTATACTTTGTGATCTGTTAAAACATACTACCATTGGTTCCAATACAGGATGTGGAGAGCTATGACCCTATCCTGAACCCCGTTCTGAACCGTGAGCTGCGGAGGACAGGTGGGCGTGTCCTCATAACCCTAGGGGACCAGGACATTGATTTGTCACCATCCTTCACCATCTTCCTCTCCACTCGGGATCCCAATGTAAGTAGTAGTACTTTCTTCGTAGACCAACAAACGAGGGACTTTTTTTTATAATTGACACCTCATATAGAGTGAAAAGAAAATAAAAAAATTGGAAACAAGTGTACGTTAATTTGACTAGACTAAGATTAATTTGATGGTTATGGCGGCTCTATTATTACAGTTGGTTGGTTGTTATGGTTGGTTGTTATGGTTGGTTGTTACGGTTGGTTGTTACGGTTGGTTGTTATGGTTGGTTGTTATGGTTGGTTGTTGTGGTTGGTTGTTACGGTTGGTTGTTACGGTTGATGACAAGTGGTTCAAATGCTGGTTTACACCACAGGTGGATTTCTCTCCTGACCTTTGCTCTCGAGTAACCTTTGTGAACTTCACGGTAACCAGGGGCAGTCTACAGGATCAATGCCTGAACCAGGTGTTGAAAGCAGAAAGGCCTGATGTGGATGCCAAGAGGTCGGACTTGCTCAAGTTACAGGGTCAGTAGATGTAAAGTATCAGTACAGTGTGAGAAATCAATATTATTTAGTAGAAAAAGTAAGCACGATGATGTTAATACCTGTTTCCATATACTAAAAGCCATGGTAAATGTATTTATTTTGGCAATACTTAACATATAATGTGTATACTATTTCTAGTCATATATCAAATTTAGAATGCCTAGTTCGAGGGTTGGTCTGATGGATCAGATATGTTCAGATTTTGAGATTTTAGTTTCAAATATAAATTTTTCCTCACCAGGTGAATTCCAACTGCGTCTCCGACAACTGGAGAAATCTCTTCTGGGAGCCCTGAATGAGTCTAAAGGCCGTATCCTTGACAACGACAGCATCATCACTCACCTAGAGACTCTGAAGACTGAGGCAGCAGAGGTGGCTAAGAAAGTGGAGGAGACGGACATTGTGATGGCCGAGGTTGAGGCTGTGTCACAGGAGTATGTGCCCCTGGCCATGTCCTGTAGTGGTATCTACTTCGCTCTAGAGGGACTTCAACAGGTAGCTTCATGCAACTCACAACTTCAGATATAACCCCATACTCTCCAAACACTCTGCAATATAAACATGGTTGGTCTCCATGTTGAGACCCAAATTCTTTCTATATATATGTGTATCGGTCATCTGTTGCTCTGCTCATTTATGGTTGTGTCTTCACCAAACTTTGTGCGAGTGTGAAGTACTTTAATCCAAGTTTGTGTTCAGTGCACTCAGGCTTAGGTCAAGGTTACTATCACTGAAATATAGGTTTTTGTCCTGGCATTAGAAAGCTTATTTATGAAAGAGTGAAGTACTTTGATATTTCAGGGGAGTTTGTGTTTGTACACTCAAGGTCAAGGCCAAAAATATTACATTACGTCAGGAGAAGCTATGCTCCCTTCCTCAATCTTTTTATTTGTAATTTAATTTAATCTGACTAATTGAATATTATGCAGTCATGCAGAATTAGATAGATTAACAGTTATGTTCAGTATAATGCAGTAATGAGGAGTTATATATGAGCAGAGCAACAGTCATGTTTAATTTGTGAAAAACTAAATTGAAATGATTTGTGTTGAAGGTCCACTTCCTGTAACCTTTTACCCCTTGTGCTTTCAGGTCCACTTCCTGTACCAGTACTCACTGCAGTTCTTCCTGGAGATTTTCCACTCTGTACTAAGCAGTGACAATCTGAGGGGAATGAAGGAGTACAATGCTCGCCTCTCTTCGATCACAAACAACATCTTCACGGTCAGTTCTCGGTCCACAAAACTTCACTAAACAGATTTACAATTTCACATCCTGATTAACCACAGTTATCACAGGATCTAGTTTAACATCACACCGTTCTCTGTCCTCAGTTCACATTCATGCCACAAAACATAACTTGGCAAGTTTATGGCATCATGAAACATCACTGTATTCCCACATCAGAGTAAAATTTAATATGCTTTCTCTTTCATATAAATGTTATGCAATAAAGACATGATCTTGTAACAAGTTTTATCATTCTGTGTAACAGGAGACGTTTGGGAGAGTTGGGCGTGGCATGCTCTACCAAGACAGGATCACATTCGCCATACAGATGTGTAGGATCTTCCTCAAGGGACTCAAAGGGTCAGATGTTTATCTTGTTTTCTTTATCCTCACATATTCCTTTGAATTCATTTTCAGTGTACTTTCAAAACATTTGTAAACCATCCTTTAAAGTTGTTTTTATAATTTCCACTGTGTCTGTTTCTGGACAATATGTCGAGTGTGAACAAACATTTACTTAACCTAACCTATATATGTCAAGATCAGTAAGCTTCAAATTATTGAAAAGTCTTGTAAATGAGCTTGTTTGAGAACCCAGTAAGTTAGATTACTATATAGTGAGAACACCTATAGATTAGGAGTGATGTTAGGTGTATTTTATGTCCTAACCATGTACCTTGGTTTGTGTTGTAGTGAGAACACCTATAGATTAGGAGTGATGTTAGGTGTATTTTATGTCCTAACCATGTACCTTGGTTTGTGTTGTAGTGAGAACACCTATAGATAAGGAGTGATGTTAGGTGTACTTAATGTCCTAACCATGTACCTTGGTTTGTGTTGTAGTGAGAACACCTATGAAGATGAGTTCAACTATTTCCTGAGAAATCAAGAAGCTGTGTTAACAGAAAAACCTGTGTCAACCATCCAGGGCCTCACTGCACAACAGGTTAGTGTAGCTATAGCATTTAAAACACTGTAAATGATAAAAACAAACAGGGTCATTATAGGATAGGAGGACATGATCATGTAAATGTATGTTTGGATCTGTAATAATTAAATGATGTGCTAGAGGAAAACAGTGGACATTAGTTTTGTTGAACATTTTGTTTTACAGCAAGCCTCCATGTTGCGACTGTCTAAGGTGAGGGCCTTCAAGTCCCTGGAGCAGGAAGTTAAAGGAAATGGTGTAAGTTACCAACTTATTAGTCATGTAATCTTGAGTAATGTGTATAAGTCATTAGATGTTAAAATATCATTGATGTTTTTTTTGCATCCTAATTAATTATGTACACAAGAAATCTGATCTTCAGACTTTTAATTTATTTATATATATATTGCCTAAAACAAAAGGAGCTGTGCTTCACAGGGATCCTAGTACATATCTGAGATTTGTGTTTAAAAAAACAAACTTATTTGCATTAAAACTTTAAAACTATGACATCTTTCCACATATGTAATTGTGAGCCTCATTATTCTAGCCACCAGTATCCAAATAGTTTTAATACCAAGTCAGCACTAACCCAGTGGTTCCATTACCCAGTCAGCACTAACCCAGTGGTTCCAATACCCAGTCAGCACTAACCCAGTGGTTACAATACCCAGTCAGCACTAACCCAGTGGTTCTAATAACCAGTCAGCACTAACCCAGTGGTTACAATACCCAGTCAGCACTAACCCAGTTGTTCTAATACCCAGTCACCACTTACCCAGTGGTTACAATGCCAAGTCAGCACTAACCCAGTGGTTCTAATAACCAGTCAGCACTAACCCAGTGGTTCCAATACCCAGTCAGCACTAACCCAGTGGTTACAATACCTAGTCACCACTTACCCAGTGGTTACAATACCTAGCCACCACTTAACCTAGCCATCACTTACCCAGTGGTTACAATACCTAGTCACCCCTTACCCAGTGGTTACAATACCTAGCCACCACTTAACCTAGCCATCACTTACCCAGTGGTTACAATACCTAGTCACCCCTTACCCAGTGGTTACAATACCTAGTCACCACTTACCAAGTGGTTAAAATACCGAGTCACCACTTACCCAGTGGTTACAATACCTAGTCACCACTTACCCAGTGGTTACAATACCTAGTCACCACTTACCCAGTGGTTACAATACCTAGTCACCACTTACCCAGTGGTTACAATACCTAGTCACCACTTACCCAGTGGTTACAATACCTAGTCACCACTTACCCAGTGGTTACAATACCTAGTCACCACTTACCCAGTGGTTACAATACCTAGTCACCACTTACCCAGTGGTTACAATACCTAGTCACCACTTACCCAGTGGTTACAATACCTAGTCACCACTTACCCAGTGGTTACAATACCTAGTCACCACTTACCCAGTGGTTACAATACCTAGTCACCACTTACCCAGTGGTTACAATACCTAGTCACCACTTACCCAGTGGTTACAATACCTAGTCACCACTTACCCAGTGGTTACAATACCTAGTCACCACTTACCCAGTGGTTACAATACCTAGTCACCACTTACCCAGTGGTTACAATACCTAGTCACCACTTACCCAGTGGTTACAATACCTAGTCACCACTTACCCAGTGGTTACAATACCTAGTCACCACTTACCCAGTGGTTACAATACCTAGTCACCACTTACCCAGTGGTTACAATACCTAGTCACCACTTACCCAGTGGTTACAATACCTAGTCACCACTTACCCAGTGGTTACAATACCTAGTCACCACTTACCCAGTGGTTACAATACCTAGTCACCACTTACCCAGTGGTTACAATACCTAGTCACCACTTACCCAGTGGTTACAATACCTAGTCACCACTTACCCAGTGGTTACAATACCTAGTCACCACTTACCCAGTGGTTACAATACCTAGTCACCACTTACCCAGTGGTTACAATACCTAGTCACCACTTACCCAGTGGTTACAATACCTAGTCACCACTTACCCAGTGGTTACAATACCTAGTCACCACTTACCCAGTGGTTACAATACCTAGTCACCACTTACCCAGTGGTTACAATACCTAGTCACCACTTACCCAGTGGTTACAATACCTAGTCACCACTTACCCAGTGGTTACAATACCTAGTCACCACTTACCCAGTGGTTACAATACCTAGTCACCACTTACCCAGTGGTTACAATACCTAGTCACCACTTACCCAGTGGTTACAATACCTAGTCACCACTTACCCAGTGGTTACAATACCTAGTCACCACTTACCCAGTGGTTACAATACCTAGTCACCACTTACCCAGTGGTTACAATACCTAGTCACCACTTACCCAGTGGTTACAATACCTAGTCACCACTTACCCAGTGGTTACAATACCTAGTCACCACTTACCCAGTGGTTACAATACCTAGTCACCACTTACCCAGTGGTTACAATACCTAGTCACCACTTACCCAGTGGTTACAATACCTAGTCACCACTTACCCAGTGGTTACAATACCTAGTCACCACTTACCCAGTGGTTACAATACCTAGTCACCACTTACCCAGTGGTTACAATACCCAGTCAGCACTAACCCAGTGGTTACAATACCCAGTCAGCACTAACCCAGTGGTTACAATACCAAGTCAGAACTAACCCAGTGGTTACAATACCTAGTCACCACTTACCCAGTGGTTACAATACCCAGTCAGCACTAACCCAGTGGTTACAATACCCAGTCAGCACTAACCCAGTGGTTACAATACCAAGTCAGAACTAACCCAGTGGTTACAATACCTAGTCACCACTTACCCAGTGGTTACAATACCCAGTCAGCACTAACCCAGTGGTTACAATACCCAGTCAGCACTAACCCAGTGGTTACAATACCAAGTCAGAACTAACCCAGTGGTTCCAATACCTAGTCACCACTTACCCAGTGGTTACAATACCCAGTCAGCACTAACCCAGTGGTTACAATACCAAGTCAGAACTAACCCAGTGGTTCCAATACCTAGTCACCACTTACCCAGTGGTTACAATACCCAGTCAGCAGTAACCCAGTGGATACAATACCAAGTCAACAATTACCCAGTGGTTACAATACCTAGTCACCACTTACCCAGTGATTACAATACCTAGCCACCATTTACCCAGTGGTTACAATACCTAGCCACCACTTACCCAGTGGTTACAATATTAAGTCACCGCTAACCCAGTGGTTGCAATACCTAGTCACCGTTGCCCCCGTGGTTACAATACCTAGTCCCCACTTACCCAGTGGTTACAATACCCAGTCAGCACTAACGCAGTGGTTACAATACCAAGTCAGAACTAACCCAGTGGGTACAATACCTAGTCACCACGTACCCAGTGGATACAATACTTAGACACCACTTACCCAGTGGTTCCAATACCCAGTCAGCACTAACGCAGTGGTTACAATACCAAGTCAGAACTAACCCAGTGGTTCCAATCCCTAGTCACCACTTACCCAGAGGTTACAATACCTAGTCACCAATTACCCAGTGGTTACAATACCGAGTCACCACTTACCCAGTGCTTACAATACCTAGCCACCATTTTCCCAGTGGTTACAATACCCAGTCAGCACTTACCCAGTGGTTACAATACCTAGTCACCACTTACCCAGTGGTGCTGTAATTCAGCCACCACTAACCCAGTGATTATAAAACCTAGTCACCACTACTTCCCCTGTGGTTTTATAAACCAATGCAACTAACACGAAGCCAGTGGTTCTACAATCCAGTCACCACTTACCTAATGGTTCCAATATCCATTCGCCATTAACCCAGTGATTCTAATATTCTGCCATCACTTATCACTAACCAAGTGGTTCCACAACCTAGCTACCACTAATTAATTTGTCTGCTTGCAGCTATGTCTGAGGGACAAATTCATGTTTTTTATTTAAAACTGTCTAACTCATAAAATGATTCCAATATGCAACCAAATACTTGATATTGTTTCATTGGCAAAATGTATATCAGCTTGGTATTAAAGTCCTTAGAATATTTTGTGTTTAAAGTGTATGGTTTGAGATGAATTGCTGTGTTGATAGACCTGAACATTTGTTATAGGAATTCCATGCCTGGCTGGAGAGTAACACCCCAGAGGTGAATATTCCGACACTGTGGGACGACAGCAGACCTCTCAGTGAGTTATTCTTGTCTAGTAGTCTCCAGCCCATTTCTGAACATCTGACTTTGGTCCAGAATATAGACTTAAAAAACATGCAAAACAGTTCATTGTAGACTTCAGATCTAACGCATCTGTTATACCCTCCTCCACAGGTCCTATTGGGAAGGCAGTCCATGGACTTCTGGCAATCCAGGCATTCCGACCAGACAGACTGATTGCTATGTCTCGTGTGTTTGTTGAGAAAGTACTCACTTCCAACTTCATGCACTGTGCTGAGAAGGAACTCAATCTGGCAGAGATTGTCGAACAGGAGGTAGGAACTAGAGTGTGGACCATCAGTAGTTATAGCGCTTGTCTTTTCAAAAGGAACATTATCTGCCCCTGATGTTATAGAACTATATTTATGTACACAATACCTACCCCAGACATTGTATTATATCAGTGTGTAGAACATTAATTGCCCTTGATATTATAGTGCTATGTTAACAAATAGAGTTATCTGCCGGTGATGTGAAGTTCAGCTTTCCTCTTCAAATCATTTGCTTTTGATGTTGATTTAATTCCTCTGTTAAGTTAGGGTGAGTTCTATATTTACAGAGTATGGTTAATGAAGTGGACGTAAAACCTATCAATCAATCAATGTTCCTCTATAAAGTTGTCTGCTCCTGATATTGTAGATAAAGGCCAGTACGCCTGTCCTCATGTGTTCTGTGCCGGGATACGATGCAAGTGGGCGTGTAGATGACTTGGCCACAGAGCTCAGCAAGCAGATCACCTCTATTGCCATGGGTAGGTTTAGAAAAAGATATTTCGTGTCTCTAACAACCATCTACTGTAAAAGCATAATATTTCGTTGGGGATTTAATTTCATTTATTTCGTTGGGGATTTAGTTTTATTTATTTGTTTACGACAATAACATTAAATTTGGATCGATTTCCGTCACCATGCTGTCAGGACGGTCGCCCCGTTTTTGACACTTTTTCAAAGGAAACGACAGGGAAATAAACTTCTAATGTAATCGAGAAACTATTGCTTAAATGATTGAAAACACACATCTTCCTTCTGGAGTAATATTTTCATTGAAATCGGCATGATTTTCTCAAATTATGTGTCAAGGTAACCTTGAATATTTATGAAATGCATGCTCGTTGTCTCATCAGAGTGTGTGTTATAAACTGTCAGTAGGCCTAATTATTTCCATTTTAGATAGCTCTAAACTACCACACATGTTTGTTTAGACTTAATCATATGACCATCCAGCGATGGATTGTTTTCCACTGACTGGGGTGAAGCGATGTGTGAAAAATTCACCTGGAGTGGACAGGTGCATAATCACCTCGGTCGATGTAGGCTACGGTTAGCCGGACCTATTGTCTTATTATCCAGGTGTCAAAAAAAAAAAATGTGTTAAAAAATGTGATTCCACGAAATATAATCCCTACGAATTTGTCCAATAACAAAAACAACGAAATTTAACTCCAACGAAAATATATGCTTTTACAGTATTATTTTAATTATGAAACACAAAAATATGTGTTCTGTTTCAATAATTCCAAAATAATTTTGTATAATTAAAAGCATACTTTGATAAGTGCAGAACTCTGTAATATCGAAAAACTCAATTTCTCTCATTTTCAGGAATTAAATTTCTAGTGAAAAGTTCTTTTCCTAAAATTTTGGTCATGCTCCAAACTTTTTAAGTTGAAACAAAGTATCCAGACCAATAAAGTTGCACAACACTGAATGCTACATCTGATGAGTTTTTGTTTCTGACCAATAGGATCAGCAGAGGGCTTCACACTGGCAGAGAAAGTTATCAACTCTTCCAGCAAGTCTGGGCGTTGGGTGATGCTGAAGAACGTGCACCTGGCCCCCTCATGGCTCGTACAACTGGAGAAAAAGCTCCATAACCTCACCCCACACCCAAACTTCAGACTGTTTCTTACCATGGAGATTAATCCCAAGGTATTAATTGTAATCTTATATGTAGTGGATCAAAATGAGTTTTTTAAAAGTTGTACATTTTGTGTCATTCAGCTGATCAGTCTAATGAAAGGATCCTATGTATGTGAAGTACTCTGGTCCATGTTGATCAGTCTAATGAAAGGTTCCTATGTATGTGAAGTACTCTGGTCCATGTTGATCAGTCTAATGAAAGGATCCTATGTATGTGAAGTACTCTGGTCCATGTTGATCAGTCTAATGAAAGGATCCTATGTATGTGAAGTACCCTGGTCCATGTTGATCAGTCTAATGAAAGGATCCTATGTATGTGAAGTACTCTGGTCCATGTTGATCAGTCTAATGAAAGGATCCTATGTATGTGAAGTACTCTGGTCCATGTTGATCAGTCTAATGAAAGGATCCTATGTATGTGAAGTACTCTGGTCCATGTTGATCAGTCTAATGAAAGGATCCTATGTATGTGAAGTACTCTGGTCCATGTTGATCAGTCTAATGAAAGGATCCTATGTATGTGAAGTACTCTGGTCCATGTTGATCAGTCTAATGAAAGGATCCTATGTATGTGAAGTACTCTGGTCCATGTTGATCAGTCTAATGAAAGGATCCTATGTATGTGAAGTACTCTGGTCCATGTTGATCAGTCTAATGAAAGGATCCTATGTATGTGAAGTACTCTGGTCCATGTTGATCAGTCTAATGAAAGGATCCTATGTATGTGAAGTACTCTGGTCCATGTTGATCAGTCTAATGAAAGGATCCTATGTATGTGAAGTACTCTGGTCCATGTTGATCAGTCTAATGAAAGGATCCTATGTATGTGAAGTACTCTGGTCCATGTTGATCAGTCTAATGAAAGGATCCTATGTATGTGAAGTACTCTGGTCCATGTTGATCAGTCTAATGAAAGGATCCTATGTATGTGAAGTACTCTGGTCCATGTTGATCAGTCTAATGAAAGGATCCTATGTATGTGAAGTACTCTGGTCCATGTTGATCAGTCTAATGAAAGGATCCTATGTATGTGAAGTACTCTGGTCCATGTTGATCAGTCTAATGAAAGGATCCTATGTATGTGAAGTACTCTGGTCCATGTTGATCAGTCTAATGAAAGGATCCTATGTATGTGAAGTACTCTGGTCCATGTTGATCAGTCTAATGAAAGGATCCTATGTATGTGAAGTACTCTGGTCCATGTTGATCAGTCTAATGAAAGGATCCTATGTATGTGAAGTACTCTGGTCCATGTTGATCAGTCTAATGAAAGGATCCTATGTATGTGAAGTACTCTGGTCCATGTTGATCAGTCTAATGAAAGGATCCTATGTATGTGAAGTACTCTGGTCCATGTTGATCAGTCTAATGAAAGGATCCTATGTATGTGAAGTACTCTGGTCCATGTTGATCAGTCTAATGAAAGGATCCTATGTATGTGAAGTACTCTGGTCCATGTTGATCAGTCTAATGAAAGGATCCTATGTATGTGAAGTACTCTGGTCCATGTTGATCAGTCTAATGAAAGGATCCTATGTATGTGAAGTACTCTGGTCCATGTTGATCAGTCTAATGAAAGGATCCTATGTATGTGAAGTACTCTGGTCCATGTTGATCAGTCTAATGAAAGGATCCTATGTATGTGAAGTACTCTGGTCCATGTTGATCAGTCTAATGAAAGGATCCTATGTATGTGAAGTACTCTGGTCCATGTTGATCAGTCTAATGAAAGGATCCTATGTATGTGAAGTACTCTGGTCCATGTTGATCAGTCTAATGAAAGGATCCTATGTATGTGAAGTACTCTGGTCCATGTTGATCAGTCTAATGAAAGGATCCTATGTATGTGAAGTACTCTGGTCCATGTTGATCAGTCTAATGAAAGGATCCTATGTATGTGAAGTACTCTGGTCCATGTTGATCAGTCTAATGAAAGGATCCTATGTATGTGAAGTACTCTGGTCCATGTTGATCAGTCTAATGAAAGGATCCTATGTATGTGAAGTACTCTGGTCCACGTTGATCAGTCTAATGAAAGGATCCTATGTATGTGAAGTACTCTGGTCCATGTTGCTCAGTCTAATGAAAGGATCCTATGTATGTGGAGTACTCTGGTCCACGTTGATCAGTCTAATGAAAGGGTCCTATGTATGTAAAGTACTTTGGTCCATGTTGATCAGTCTAATGAAAGGATCCTATGAATGTGAAGTACCCTGGTCCACGTTGATCAGTCTAATCAAAGGATCCTATGTATGTGAAGTACTCTGGTCCAAGTGGATCAGTCTAATGAAAGGATCCTATGTATGTGAAGTTCCCTGGTCCATGTTGATCAGTCTAATGAAAGGATCCTATGAATGTGAAGTACTCTGGTCCATGTTGCTCAGTCTAATGAAAGGATCCTATGTATGTGGAGTAAGTACTCTGGTTTACGTTGATCAGTCTAATGAAAGGATCCTATGTAGGTGAAGTACTCTGGTCCATGTTGCTCAGTCTAATGAAAGGATCCTATGTATGTGGAGTACTCTGGTCCACGTTGATCAGTCTAATGAACGGATCCTATGTACGTGAAGTACTCTGGTCCATGTTGCTCAGTCTAATGAAAGGAGCCTATGTATGTGGAGTACTCTGGTCCACGTTGATCAGACTAATGAAAGGGTCCTATGTATGTAAAGTACTTTGGTCCATGATGATCAGTCTAATGAAAGGATCCTATGTATGTGGAGTACTCTGGTCCACGTTGATCAGACTAATGAAAGGGTCCTATGTATGTAAAGTACTTTGGTCCATGATGATCAGTCTAATGAAAGGATCCTATGTATGTGGAGTACTCTGGTCCATGTTGATCAGTCTAATGAAAGGGTCCTATGTATGTGAAGTACTCTGGTCCACGTTGATCAGTCTAAGGAAAGGATCCTATGTATGTGAAGTACTCTGGTCCAAGTGGATCAGTCTAATGAAAGGATCCTATGTATGTGAAGTACTCTGGTCCATAAATAGTTTACAATGGTGTTGCTCTCTTTCCAGCTGCCGACTAACTTGTTGCGTGCGGGTCGTGTGTTTGTGTTTGAGCCGCCACCAGGTGTCTCTGCCAACCTTCTTCGTACCTTTAACACTGTACCAGCCTCCAGGATGTGTAAGGTCAGTAGTCAGCAAGCTTTATAGAAGACAAATTGATTATGTTAGTGTTGAAATGTATTTAGTTGGCATTGATAGTGTTCACCTGTATAAATTTATTTTTTGTATACTGTTTATCACAGACTCCTAATGAGCGGTCCCGCTTATACTTCCTGCTTGCCTGGCTTCATGCTATCGTCCAGGAGAGGATGAGATACACACCTCTTGGCTGGGCTAAAAAGTATGAGTTCACAGAGTCTGACCTCAGAGTCGCTTGTGACATGCTGGACACCTGGATTGACTCGGTTGCTATGGTACGTGTGAAGTGAATGTTACCGTTGACTGGGTTGTTACGGTGCATGGGGAGTAACTATTGTTATTGACATGTTAAGTATTAGACACACTTCCTGTCAGGGAATCGTCAGATTATTACATTGAGAGGATACCTTTGCCATGACAAGTCATTAATCATGTTAAAATACGATGTTTTAAAATATAGTTACTCCATTGTATGTGTATAGTCTTACCAACCTGCCACCAAATAACAAGTGATGCTGATTTTGTGATGTTACAAATAACTGGTTTCTAGTGATACAAGTATGTGGTGTTTACAGGGACGTACCAACCTGCCACCTAACAAGGTTCCATGGGATGCTATCAAGACCCTCCTGTCACAGTGTATCTACGGAGGCAAGATTGACAACGAATTTGACCAGGTAGATAATGTCACAAGGCACCAATAGACAAACAATCATTGATCATAACTATGTAGTCTTCAGACTTCTGAAATGTAAGCCATTTTATTATGAACAAAAAGGGGAAAAAAATGTATTGTGGCTACAAAATCTGTTATTAATATAAATTAATATACATGTACCACAAGAATACATAATTGTTTATGTAAGTTAGACCTAAATGATAATAGCTGTAAATAATCTATTTACATACATTGATCTACCTGTTGTAGTGCCTGATAATAGCTATAAATAATCTAGTTACATACATTGACCTACCTGTTGTAGTGCCCGATAATAGCTATAAATAATCTTGTTACATACATTGATCTACCTGTTGTAGTGCCTGATAATAGCTGTAAATAATCTAGTTACATACATTGACCTACCTGTTGTAGCACCCGATAATAGCTATAAATAATCTTGTTACATACATTGATCTACCTGTTGTAGTGCCTGATAATAGCTGTAAATAATCTAGTTACATACATTGACCTACCTGTTGTAGTGCCCGATAATATCTATAAATAATCTTGTTACATACATTGATCTAGCTGTTGTAGCGCCCGATAATAGCTATAAATAATCTTGTTACATTGACCTACCTGTTATAGCGCCTGTTGACCACATTCATCGACAAGCTGTTCTCACCTAAGAGTTTTGAGGCAGATTTCAATCTGGTCAGTAATGTAGATGGCCACGGCAAGAAGATCAGCATGCCAGATGGTGTTCAGTAAGTGTCCAATGATTCTCTTAAGATTGCCAGATGGTGTTCAATAAGTGTCCAATAATTCTCTTAAGATTGCCAGATGGTGTTCAATAAGTGTCCAATGATTCTCTTCAGATTGCCAAATGGTGTTCAGTAAGTGTCCATTGGTTCTCTTAAGATTGCCAGATGGTGTTCAGTAAGTGTCCATTGGTTCTCTTAAGATTGCCAGATGGTGTTCAGTAAGTGTCCATTGGTTCTCTTAAGATTGCCAGATGGTGTTCAGTAAGTGTCCATTGGTTCTCTTAAGATTGCCAGATGGTGTTCAGTAAGTGTCCATTGGTTCTCTTAAGATTGCCAGATGGTGTTCAGTAAGTGTCCATTGGTTCTCTTAAGATTGCCAGATGGTGTTCAGTAAGTGTCCAATGATTCTCTTAAGATTGCCAGATGGTGTTCAGTAAGTTTCATATGATTCTCTTAAGATTGCCAGATGGTGTTCATTAAGTGTTCAATGATTCTCTTAAGATTGCCAGATGGTGTTCATTAAGTTTCCAATGATTCTCTTAAGATTGCCAGATGGTGTTCAATAAGTGTCTTATGATTGCCAGATGGTGTTCAATAAGTGTCCAATGATTCTCTTAAGATTGCCAGATGGTGTTCAATAAGTGTCTAATGATTCTCTTAAGATTGCCAGATGGTGTTCAATAAGTGTCCAATGATAATCTTAAGATTGCCAGATGGTGTTCAATAAGTATCAGAATTGTGTACTGTAAGTGTCAGAAAGGTGCTTATTGGATAAAACCTTAGAATGTTGTTAGGCATCAAAATGGTGTTCATTAATTGATCTGATGAATTCATTTGATTACATGGTGGGTTGATAAACCATTACAAAATAACTTGTGGAAATACTTTCCTTACCCGGTTTAAAGGAGAGAAATATTTGCTGATGAATGTATACTGTACTCTGTGACTGTAACTTTGTTTGTACACAGGCGTGAACAGTTTGTACAGTTTGCTGAACTGTTGGAGGGTGATAGACAAACTCCTGCCTGGCTTGGTCTGCCCAACAATGCTGAGAAGGTCCTTCTCACCAACCATGGTAGGTGAAATAGGGTCAAGATTACGTCTCTGCCAGTCTATGTGGTAAAACATACCTTCTTAGCTGATGTAGTATGTACTTAACTATTGAGCCTCTATTGGTAGTAGGTTTATAGAGATGGTAAGCAGTGTGAAAGTGAGTGTGTGTATGTTTGTTGTAACTATAGTAGTAGGTTTATATAGATGGTAATCAGTGTGAAAGTGAGTGTGTGTATCTTTGTTAGAACTATGGTAATAGGAATTTTAATTATAAGAAGTCTGTTTACATGAGAACTATGGTAATAGGAATTTTAATTATAAGAAGTCTACTTACATTATAACAATGGTAATAGGAATTTTAATTATGAGGAGTCTACTTACATTATAACAATGGTAATAGGAATTTTAATTATAAGAAGTCTGTTTACATGAGAACTATGGTAATAGGATTATATAGATGGTAATCATTGTGAAAGTGAGTGTGTGTATGTTTGTAGTAACTATAGTAGTAGGCTTATATAGATGGTAATCAGTGTGACAGTGAGTGTGTGTATCTTCGTTACAACTATGGTAAGAGGTTTATATAGATGGGAAGCAGTGTGAAAGTGAGGGTGTGTATCTTTGTTAGAACTATGGTAATAGGAATTTTAATTATAAGAAGTCTACTTACATTATAACTATGGTAATAGGAATTTTAATTATAAGAAGTCTACTTACATTATAACTATGGTAAAGATGGTAAGCAGTGTGAAAGTGAGTGTGTGGATCTTTGTTACAACTATGGTAATAGGTTTATAGAGATGGGAAGCAGTGTGAAAGTGAGTGTGTGGATCTTTGTTACAACTATGGTAATAGGTTTATAGAGATGGTAAGCAGTGTGAAAGCGAGAGTGTGTATCTTTGTTACAACTATGGTAATAGGGTTATAGAGATGGTAAGCAGTGTGAAAGTGAGTGTGTGTATCTTTGTTACAACTATGATGATACGCTGCTTGTATCCTATCCCAGGCTCTGCAATGATTGCCAAGCTCCTCAAGATGGAAGTACTGGAGGTTGATGACGATGAGCTGGCATATGGAGGAACACCAGAGGATGAACAAAAACGTCTGACTGATGGCCGCCCAGCCTGGATGAGGACGCTCTTCTCCTCCGTGTCTACCTGGCTTAACTTGATACCAAAGGTCAGTATCAGGGAAGGTTGATGTAGGATTGCTCAGTACCCCTTAGGACTAAGGGTAATGGTACGGCTAGTGTTAATAAGTTTGGGGTGGACTGGACCATTAAGTCTTTGAAGGGGGGGGGGGCATCTTGTAAGTCAGCTGATGACTAGAATGTTCTGGGGAGGCTTCAATGTAAAATTACATAAAAGTGATTAAGCATATACAGTTAATGATGAATACAGACAGACGAGAAGTTAAATGATGAATACAGACAGAAGTTATGATATTTGAAAGTTACCTTAATGATTTGATTTTGAAATCAGGTACAGGTACAGCTTTTAGTAGGGAACGTAACCAGCTCCAGGAGATGGATACTGTGACTTAGTTATTTTAACAGTGATGACATGAGCTATTGTAACAAAACTTGTATGAGATATAGATATGATGTTAACTGTATACTGATCCTCCCACTGATTAACTGACAGCTTGTACTGTCTTGTGTGCTAACAACGGACTGCATGGTTAACAGTGTATACCACATCATCATCCTACTGTATTAATATACTCCAGTTGTGTAAAGCATGCTAACCCAGTTGTCTGTTCTGTGTATTACTGAATGCTCTCTATAGATACTGTATCTTGTAACATCACAGCATGTATATATACCATGTACTGAGTTTTCTATTGACTAATATTAACTCAGGACCCCGAAGAGCTGCTGGTAAGTCATCATTTTCACCTTCTAACACAAGGATCTGAACACCTCTCCTCATCAACCCTCTCCCTAAACAACTCATTCTCACCACTTCACTTCATTCCCTTTTAACCTTTTAACCCCATCACTCTAACCATGGACTACAGGAATGGTTTAACATCAATGAACAATAGCTTTGTAGGTATGACCTAGAGTAGCTTTATAGGTATGACCTACAGTAACTTTATAGGTATGACCTACAGTAACTTTATAGGTATGACCTACAGTAGCTTTATAGGTATGACCTACAATAACTTTATAGGTATGATCTACAGTAACTTTATAGGTATGACCTACAGTAACTTTATAGGTATGACCTACAGTAACTTTATAGGTATGACCTACAGTAACTTTATAGGTATGACCTACAGTAACTTTATAGGTATGACCTACAGTAACTTTATAGGTATGACCTACAGTAACTTTATAGGTATGACCTACAGTAACTTTATAGGTATGACCTACAGTAACTTTATAGGTATGACCTACAGTAACTTTATAGGTATGACCTACAGTAACTTTATAGGTATGACCTACAGTAACTTTATAGGTATGACCTACAGTAACTTTATAGGTATGACCTACAGTAACTTTATAGGTATGACCTACAGTAACTTTATAGGTATGACCTACAGTAACTTTATAGGTATGACCTACAGTAACTTTATAGGTATGACCTACAGTAACTTTATAGGTATGACCTACAGTAACTTTATAGGTATGACCTACAGTAACTTTATAGGTATGACCTACAGTAACTTTATAGGTATGACCTACAGTAACTTTATAGGTATGACCTACAGTAACTTTATAGGTATGACCTACAGTAACTTTATAGGTATGACCTACAGTAACTTTATAGGTATGACCTACAGTAACTTTATAGGTATGACCTACAGTAACTTTATAGGTATGACCTACAGTAACTTTATAGGTATGACCTACAGTAACTTTATAGGTATGACCTACAGTAACTTTATAGGTATGACCTACAGTAACTTTATAGGTATGACCTACAGTAACTTTATAGGTATGACCTACAGTAACTTTATAGGTATGACCTACAGTAACTTTATAGGTATGACCTACAGTAACTTTATAGGTATGACCTACAGTAACTTTATAGGTATGACCTACAGTAACTTTATAGGTATGACCTACAGTAACTTTATAGGTATGACCTACAGTAACTTTATAGGTATGACCTACAGTAACTTTATAGGTATGACCTACAGTAACTTTATAGGTATGACCTACAGTAACTTTATAGGTATGACCTACAGTAACTTTATAGGTATGACCTACAGTAACTTTATAGGTATGACCTACAGTAACTTTATAGGTATGACCTACAGTAACTTTATAGGTATGACCTACAGTAACTTTATAGGTATGACCTACAGTAACTTTATAGGTATGACCTACAGTAACTTTATAGGTATGACCTACAGTAACTTTATAGGTATGACCTACAGTAACTTTATAGGTATGACCTACAGTAACTTTATAGGTATGACCTACAGTAACTTTATAGGTATGACCTACAGTAACTTTATAGGTATGACCTACAGTAACTTTATAGGTATGACCTACAGTAACTTTATAGGTATGACCTACAGTAACTTTATAGGTATGACCTACAGTAACTTTATAGGTATGACCTACAGTAACTTTATAGGTATGACCTACAGTAACTTTATAGGTATGACCTACAGTAACTTTATAGGTATGACCTACAGTAACTTTATAGGTATGACCTACAGTAACTTTATAGGTATGACCTACAGTAACTTTATAGGTATGACCTACAGTAACTTTATAGGTATGACCTACAGTAACTTTATAGGTATGACCTACAGTAACTTTATAGGTATGACCTACAGTAACTTTATAGGTATGACCTACAGTAACTTTATAGGTATGACCTACAGTAACTTTATAGGTATGACCTACAGTAACTTTATAGGTATGACCTACAGTAACTTTATAGGTATGACCTACAGTAACTTTATAGGTATGACCTACAGTAACTTTATAGGTATGACCTACAGTAACTTTATAGGTATGACCTACAGTAACTTTATAGGTATGACCTACAGTAACTTTATAGGTATGACCTACAATATTTTTATAGGTATGACCTACAGTAACTTTATAGGTATGATCTACAGTAATATAGGTATGACCTACAGTAACTTTATAGGTATGACCTACAGTAACTTTATAGGTATGACCTTCCAAGTAACTTTATAGGTATGACCTACAGTAACTTTATAGGTATTACCTACAGTAACTTTATAGGTATGACCTACAGTAACTTTATCGATATGACCTACAGTAACTTTATAGATACGACCTACAATAGCTTTATAGGTATGACCCACAGTAACTTTATAGGTATGACCTACAATAACTTTATAGGTATGACCTACAGTTACTTTATAGGTATGACCTACAGTAACTTTATAGTTATGACCTACAGTAACTTTATAGGTATGACCTATAGTAACTTTATAGGTATGACCTACAGTAACTTTACAGGTATGACCTACAATAACTTTATAGGTATGACCTACAGTAACTTTATATGTATGACCTACAGTAACTTTATAGGTATGACCTACAGTATCTTTATAGGTATGACCTTCCAAGTAACTTTATAGGTATGACCTACAGTAACTTTAGAGGTATGACCTACAGTACCTTTATAGGTATGACCTACAATAGCTTTATAGGTATGACCTGCAGTAACTTTATAGGTATGACCTACCCAGTAACTTTATAGGTATGACCTACAGTAACTTTATAGGTATGACCTACAATAACTTTATAGGTATGACCTACAGTTACTTTATAGGTATGACCTACATTAACTTTATAGGTATGACCTACAGTAACTTTATAGGTGTGACCTACAGTAACTTTATAGGTATCTTTATAGGTATGACCTACAGTAACTTTATAGGTATGACCTACAGTTACTTTTAGGTATGACCTACATTAACTTTATAGGTATGACCTACAGTAACTTTATAGGTATGACCTACAGTTACTTTTAGGTATGACCTACAGTAACTTTATAGGTATGACCTACAGTAACTTTATTGGTATACCCTGTAATTACTGGGCAGTTTGGAAGCGGTTATCTTGTTTCCTGTATCAACTTTTATCAGGGTTATGGATTTTGTCTTCATTTTAATATTAATTTTTACAGAGGTGAGTATAGTTGATTTGACACTCTGTGGTTCGATACCAAAATGTTCAGCCAAAATGTTCAGTGCTTTACGATCGTGGTAATCATTATTTGGTTTCCTGTCCCAGATTTCCCAACTTCCTAGCTTTGACTCGCAATATGCAATATTTCAGAAAGTATGTCAACAATGATATAAACTTTCCTACAAGGTATTGAGAAGTTTGTATCTTAGCAGTGATAATACAGGACATGTGCTCCATAAGAAAGTTACCTAGTACTAACATAATATCACATGAAACACTGGTTCTGGTACACAGCAGGAACAGTAGTCTGTTGTAGATGGAGGTGACGGGGTTATAATACACTAACATTGCACCTTAATTGGCTTTACTCAATAGACATACACTTTGATATGTTGGATAATGTTTTACTCAGTTCTTCATTATATAATGTCTCTAACAAATAATCAACATTAATATTCTGTTTTAGCATGATACTGTCATGCATGTGTTTAATTTTATGTTTAATCTTTATTAATCATTTACTCAGTGCTTTTTTCATCCTTTATTATTAATTTCATAAGTTGTTTTAGGTGTTCACCATTTTAGAAAGTTAATTGCTTACAGTGATTGCTCTGTCATTTTCAGACGCTGGGCTCCATGAAGAGGACCTTTGACAACATCCGTGACCCACTGTTCCGTTTCTTTGAGCGTGAGGTGAACGCAGGAGCAACCCTTCTGATGGACATTCGCCAGGACCTAAACGATGTGTCAATGATTTGTCAGGGAGAGAAGAAACCAACCAATCACCACAGGGCTATGATGGCAGACTTAGCTAAAGGCAAGTCACAAGTTCTTGTCAGTAACTAACATTTTTTCAACAAATAATGTACCAAAAATGCTTGCATATGAATATCTTAAGGGTTAAGAATATCTTCCTTATCATTTGTTTAAAATATGCCATTAACATAAATCTGCAATATTAAAAGTGTTCCCAGTGTATTTCGCTGAAAGTGTTACTTTTGTATTTTGACCATTCTACTATTTTGTGCACTAAGTGCTATGTTTCGTAGATTAACTGTGTGTGATTGTGTCTCCAGGAATTATCCCACAGACATGGCACCGCTACACTGTGCCGTCTGGAATCACCGTCATACAGTGGATCACTGACTTCTCCCTTCGTGTCAAACAACTGCAACAGATCGTGGTCACTACCCAGCAGGGCGGGGCCAAGGATCTCAAGGTACCACTCCACACTAGCATTATGTATACAGAGATGGGGGGAGGGGCAAAGGACTTGCAGTACCACAGCACTCGTTGTATTGTATAGTGTTGGATAGGTCGTGGAGATGCCTGATTAGAATATCCTATGGACTATTTACATAACATGGTTACAATATCCTGTAGAATTGTTACACATTCATGATATCTGCGAGTTATTGTTATAAAGGTGTTGTGAATTCTGCTATTAATTTTCTGATCAAATTGTCAGCTGAACATTTATAATTGATCTACTTGTCACTTACAGAACCTGAATGTTTGGTTGGGAGGCCTGTTTATTCCTGAGGCTTACATCACTGCCACACGTCAGTACGTAGCCCAGGCCAACAGCTGGTCACTGGAGGAACTTTATCTAGAGGTATGTACCTGGTATGGGACGTCTGTGGTCAGCATACAGGTGTCTATAACTACCTTATAATGGGTTTTATCATGGAGCCTACAAATTAATGTTTTGTCCATTGTGCTATGTAGGTTATACAGTAAATCTCTTCCAGACTCCATTTTAAGAACAGAAAGTGTTAAGGACTTTATCGGACTACGTCATTGTATGATTCAGTTTGATTTGAATGTGACTTGAGAGTTGAGTGGATTAAATGTTAAGTAAAATGACAATTGATGAAGCAAAATTGTGGACATCAGTTTCAGTCTATTCATGATATTCAAATCTTGGCTGAGCACAATTTGTCATTTGAAGTTGATGAATATTGCTCAGACCAGGTTTGTACCTTATGGATAGACAAATTGTATAAATCATTTGTGGAACAGACCTCATCATGCACGGTTTGGTCAAATCAGATATTTTGTTGTACTTTAAGACATATATGATGCTTACACTTTATTCCTTGGCAGGTGAAGGTAGTGGATGGAAAGGGTACAGCCTCTATTGACCCCTGCAGCTTCGCCATCACAGGTACAGCCAACTTGGCATTACACTACCTGATTTTATTGTTGATTACCCCAGGGCGATTCATTCTTAATGAAACGAAGCAAGGGGGTGGGGGTGGGGGGTATGTAGCAGTTTAAATACCATTTAAAAAAAGTTTATACCTAAGCCAATGGGTATTTTAGCAAAATAAAATTTCCTTTTACAAATATAAGATATCATTAAGTGTCAAAACATAAAGCTGGCAATGTCTTCATGGTGACTAAGATGCTTTGTTTTCATAGTGACTGACACATCCCTATCTCTGATAAAGGGGGGAGACTACCTGCCAAAGTTAGGCTATATGAGGTACATTACAGTATCCAAGAATGTATCGCAGATGAGTGTATATAATGGAGGTAATGTATGTGTTGTAGGCCTGAGACTCCAGGGCGCGGTGTGTAAGAAGAACAAGCTACAACTGTCTACCACCATATCCACCGACCTACCGGTCACTCTGCTCTGCTGGATCAGGTAAACATTAACATGTAGAAACAAGCTTCTTTTCCTACATCACATTGTAAATCTGATCTGAAACTACAAATTTTTCTAGCAAAATGTTGACATTTTAACGTTATTTTTATTCAGGTTGGATGGTGCTAAGAAGGAAGGGAAGGTAACTCTACCTGTGTATCTGAACGCTACCAGAGGACAGCTCCTGTTTACCCTGGACTTTGACACAGAGGGCGAAGGATCGGGAGAGGGACACAGCTTCTATGAAAGGGGTGTGGCTATGATCTCCTCTGACCTGGGATAGAGGAGGAGAGCTGAGACTTATCTCCCTTATTGGGTCAAAGCTACAGACTTTACATCAATCTTATTCTTGTGTGGACAATACAAGTTTGATACTTGAGAGAAGAAATTAATAAGCAGACACATTATTTGTTCTCAGTATGATAGATGAACTTAAATTATACACAGATTATAATGTACTGGTGTTGTATGGTGATAGGTAAATTTTTAATATTTTACACAGGTAATATGTCCAGGTGTTGTGTTGTAATAAATAGCCTGTGTGTAGTTATGAAAATTATATAAGATATTCCTGCATCCTGCGTGAAATACAGAATACAGGCTCCAATGTCGACGATGATGACACAAGTGAGACGATATGTGTGTGTGCCAAGGTGATAGTAACCAAACACTTTGGACCACATTAGAAATGACTGACTAACAGTGTTGAACTCCTGTGAGCGTGGCCCACCTCAGTAGTGTGTTGGGTAATAAGACATTGCTGATATTTCTCTAGCATGATTGAGTCTTTTAAGAGCCAAACCTTGGTATTTAACTTGATGTTCATACTGCCCAGGTGGGTCTGTGTTTGGAGGAGGTCAGCACCCTAGACTATATAGACTACTAGTGCTTAGAGTGACCCAGTTATCTCCCCTTAGTCCTTCAGTGTTGTATCTCAATATCAAACGAACCACAAGTCCTTTCTTGGTATCGGAGCATTTCTCTAATCCATCATTGTTGTTCCTGAGTACAAAGGACACATTTTCTAGTACTTTTCTGATAATGTCAGGCTTATTGGGTGTTGATTATTTTTTAACCGTTTTAAAAAATTCAAAATTATGTCAAGCTTTTGGTTTTTGATAAATTGGAATATAAACAAACTTCTCCCAACAGTGGTATTGTGCAAATTAAAAAATTCTCTTCTACAAAATTTTGTATTTGTCTTATTTGTACATACATGATATATATGTAGATGCCGACAGATTCTTGACTACTTGATCAGCATTTTCATCCTACCTGTTATGTAACCTCATTAAATGATGTGCTATACCAATTCCCTGCTTGTTCCAGATTTTTAGGAACATCTTTTATTTAAATTTCACCAGAAATAAGATCGTACTTGCTAATAAGCCTGTTATGTTTTGATGGATGGGCGTCATTAACAGAAAAACCGTGTTTTTTTCACTGAATATTTTTATTTATTTTTTACAACTAGAATATGTGTAATATTTACTGGACAGTTAAGAAATCTTACCTCAGAGAACTTAATAATGTCCTTTCAGATAAGGCATGATTTTATTATATTAACTGATGAAAGACATATTCATTGTCCACCTTCATGAGATCTCTATCATACACCTCCAGGTAGAGGGAAAATATGATCAGCTGATAGATGTCGCCCTGTTACAGTTTCTCCTCCACTATAGACAACAAAACACAGCATCAATCACTTCTTAAAAATACATATATTTTAATGGGAAAGGCACAACATTTCATTAATATAGGTATATAAAATTGGTTAGCTCAACTGTGTATATAATAATTACCTAAATAGGTAAACTGTTAAATAAATAATACAAAAAATGAAAGTGCCAAAGTAAAAATATAAATTCTGAAGACGGGGTAAAACATGTGGCTATGTTTTTTTCACGGTTCAACCTCCGACAAACAGATCCATTACAGACGAAACTGCACTTCAGGGTTTTACCATACAGATTCAGGACTAAAAACGCTCCTGAGCATTTGCATAAAACAATCTCTTGACACTTGATTTGAACAAGGCCACTCAGTGAGAAAGAACAAATTCTGAAATGCTCTGGAACTTTTTTCAGTCCTGAATGTCCCCTGGTTTTGACTCGAGGACAGAGCAGCAGTGTGTCAATATATGAACAGCAAATTATAGAGCAAATGGATTTCCCAGTTAAATGGAACGAAAATTGGATAGGGGTAGTATTTGGGTTTTAAACCAACTCATTTTGTGGAAATCAATCAGTAATTTTGTTCTCCTTGGCCCTCATGTACTTGTTAAATTTCATTTTCAGTGTGTTATATAGGACAGATGGTAGTCTGCTGGTATGTTTACTACAGTGGGGTAGGTAGTACAGAAATGAGAGAAACGGGGAATATATATATACCTTGCCTTAACATCTGATAATAAACTTACCGGTATAGGTTGAGTAGCTTGGTAGTAATGGAGAGAATTGCACCATGGTGCTATACAGCGTGCTGCCCTTATTATTGTCATATATGGGGGTGGAAGAGGATTACAATGAAGCACTTTTAATGTGGACGGTATCATAATAGGATGAGCATTAAATATACTGGACAGTTCTTATCCTCCGTATAGAGTACTGTCAGAATGGGGAATAGCTGTCCTGTCTATGGCAGTTGTGTGGTCAGGAATAGCTATCATTGGATTGTGACAGTCATACAGAATGGACAGTTTGTTCCTTGGATAAGTTGTAAAAGATGACTGAACCTCTGTCTATGACGGTCATACAGTCGGGAATAGCTATACTTAGATTGCTGCAGTCATACAGAATGGAAAACTTGTACCATGCCATACATAACACAAGATGACTGAACAGCAAATATAAATGTTTATGAATCTGCTTTCATCCAGAACTGTTATTACTATGTCTGGTGTAAACACTGTTCCAGAGGTCCAATCTGAAAATTGTGTTTCAAGGCTCCGATCTGAACACTGTTCCAAAGGTCTGGTCTGAACACTGTTCTTAAGGTCTGGTCTGAACACTATTCCACGTGTCCGGTCTGACCACAGTTCCAAAAGGTCCGATCTGAACACTCGTCCAAAACGTACCATCTGCACACTTTCGAAAGTTGGAGCAGTTCACTATTTCGACGGTCCAGTCTGAACACTTCCAAAGGTCTAGTTTGAACACTCTTCCAAAAGTCGGATCTGAACACTGTTTCGACGGTCCAGTCTGAACACTGTTTCAACGGTCCAGTCTGAACACTGTTTTGACGGTCCAGTCTGAACACAATTTCATGTGATGTATCTACCTGAGACAAGTACACCTGATTAATCACCTTCCTCAAAGGAAACCTGATCTAAACTACTTGGTAATGAAACATGTCATTAGCACTAGATGTTCTATTACAACTCCCTACACGGTTGTACCACATACTGGACAAAGAGAGCTACCACTTCTGTGACGCACCAAGCTAGAAGGTGTTACATCTTCATTGGTGGACAGACAGTGGTTTTTATTGGTCATCGCCTGCATTTCGGTTTTGAAAACTTTATATGTCAGCCTGACCATCAGAGGAAGACCCACACAGATTCCAGGTATGGCTTGCCTGATACATTGATGAGTTATTTTACGGAATTGGTGGCCACTGTCATACTATGTAGATGTTGAAGTTTTCCTGCCTGAAGCACATTTGTGCCTCTTGCAGGATACGAAGACGTGGCCCCATAGGTACACCGATCTTCTCCAGGCGATCCTCCGTCATGTAGGGCAGCTCAATCATACCGATGTGCTCATTCTCAAAGTTGCTGGAGTATTTCTGTTAGGAAAGAAAATCAATCCTTAAATTTGTAAAATGTGTTGCAGTTTATTCACATTCCTTTCCACCATGATATATTCCAGTCCATGTACTTCTATAAGATGTGTGTTTATTATTACTTGGTACAAGGTGTAATCGTTTTACAAGATAAACATACTTTTAAGGTTAATTTGCCATTAACTTAATACAGCTTTTAACACCTGCGCCTGATGCCTTACCTCATAGCCAAGCTTCTTCAAGAATAGCTGAAGGAGTGGTGGTTCTTGGCCAAAAAATCTGTGATAAAAAGCAAATACCGTTATCAGAAAAATCAAATAATCTCGTTTATTCAAGCTGTTGAGGAAACATTTAGAATGTGCAGGAGTAAACATTGTTAAAACACTGTCATTATAATGTGTCTGATAAATATTGCTATTATTATATGTTGGATGAAGGGCACATCACTTTAGAAAGAAATATTGAAAAATAAAGAAAATACAAGTGAATGAAAATCCCTATATAACCATTTACCCACTAGGTGCTGTCTATTCCTTCACCACCGATGTGTGATCTACATTGTGTGGGAGTGTTCTATACGATGTTACCTACTTTGTTAGTTTGTTGACTCTCTTAGGGTTGGTAAGTGATGGCACCCATCCCCGGAACCTGTCCAGGTCGTTTAGTTCGTGTAACATTGGTGTGCGTTGTGCAGCTGTCTGTCTAATGTCCCTGACCTCGCGTATCTCCTTGCGTAGTGCCTCAAGTTCGTGTGACATAGCACTGTGGGAGCGTAGCTCAGACGAAAGGTGAGCAACACTTCGCGCTAGCGTCACCACATGCGATTCAAGTCGCTGGAATCTCCGGTTTATTGCTCTGTAATGAACAAGTAGATATCATGAACTATATTTCATTCATGCTTTAAGCTTAAGTTTGATTAAGTGAATAGTAATCAATGTACCACACCATCAATCAACACAAGAACAAAATAGGATCTTAGAGGTTGATAAGAAAAGACAGCTACAAAAATTGTGAAGACAAAAACAAAAGGAAAGTGATGATGAACCCACACATAACCCTTAGAGAGAACCTGGACTTCAGTGAGGTGTCTCCTGCACCGCATGTGGCACCAGTCACTTCTCCCAGGAAGGTATGTAGGTCTACTAAGGATCTAACAAATAGTGGACATCAATAGAATCTTGTTACTATTTATTTACTGCTGCTTAAGAATATAGATATTTACCATTTTTTTTTTTTGAACTTCTCAAGTTACTACAGTGAATGATGGAAAGGTTTAACTCTATAGAAGTGCAGTAAAGAAAATCTGGGTGATGTATGTCTCTGTGCCCCCCACACTTATTTGATGCCACATAATCTCACACTTACGAAATGTCCCTGTGACCCCCACACTTACTTGATGTCCCTGAGACCATCACCCTTCCTTGGTGTCCCTGTGACCCCCACACTTATTTGATGTCCCTTTGACCCCCCACTTACTTGATGTCCCTGTGACCCTCACACTTATTTGATGTCCATGTGACCCCCATACTTATTTGATGTCCCTGTGACCCCCATACTTATTTGATGCCATGTAATCTCACACTAACTTGATGTCACTGTGACCCCAACATTGATTTGATATCTCTGTGACATCCACACATATTTGATGTCCCTGTAACCCAAATACTTGCTTGATGTCCCTGTAACCCAAATACTTGCTAGATGTCCCTGTAACCCCCACACTTAAATGATGTCCCTGTAACCCCACACTTATTTGATGTTCCTGTAACCTCCACACTTATCTGATGTTCCTGTAACCTCCACACTTATTTAATGTCCCTGTGACCCTCACACTTATTTGATGTCCATGTGACCCCACACTTATTTGATGTTCCTGTAACCTCCACACTTATTTGATGTCTCTGTAACCAAAGGCTTCACTTACTTGATGTCCCTGTAATCCCAACACTTAATGTCCCTGTAACCCCCACACTTAAATGATGTCCCTGTAACCCCCACACTTATTTGATGTCCCTGTAACCCAACACTTATTTGATGTTCCTGTAACCCCCACACTTATTTGATGTCCCTGTAACCCAACACTTATTTGATGTTCCTGTAACCTCCACACTTATTTGATGTCTCTGTAACCATAGGCTTCACTTACTTGATGTCCTTGTAATCCCAACACTTAATGTCCCTGTGATCCCCACACTTGATGTCCCTGTAACTCTAGGCTTCACTTACTTGATGTCTCTGTAACCCCAACACTTACTTGATGTCTCTGTAACCTCCACACTTACTTGATGTCCCTGTAACCCCCACACTTACTTGATGTCTCTGTAACCCCCACACTTACTTTATGTCCCTGTGACCTCACACTTGATGTCTCTGTATTGCCCACACTTGATGTCCCTGTAACCCCCACACTTACTTGATGTCTCTGTAACCCCCACACTTACTTTATGTCCCTGTAACCCCAACACTTACTTGATGTCTCTGTAACCCCCACACTTACTTGATGTCCCTGTGACTGTAGTGATGATGACGATGATGACCTCCCATATTTGTTGTTGTACTTGAACCACGACCTTTTTTCACAGGTCTCCGTAAAGAACTGGTGTCAGAGCTTCCAATACTCCACCGTCGCCGTGGTACACGGTTCATCACTGTGGTAACAGTTTCCCTGTCTACACCTAACACTTTCATAATATCCTGGTACATGCCCTCTAAATTGTCCATTTTGTTTTTCATGTTGTCTATATCTCCAGGGGGCTGTGGAAAATCACGGAGTTTTACTGGCTCTGTATCATGAGATTCCACTGTTAAAATGGTATCCTCTATATCGAAGGGCAGATCACTCTCGTCACCAGCAGATTCACGTAAATCATTTGTGAAACCCCCTGAAACATACATATTCATTATAAGTTGCAATAAGATTTTCCTATTGGGAATGTTATACATTGTACATACTAACAGCCCATGTGCCTTAATATTAAGAGCCAAGAAGAAAAGTAAATACCGTATTTACAAGTACATTGTACGTAAAATATCCTAACACTTATCATAAATCTATGTTGAGTACTCACCCTCCATGCGACCATTGATAAGAATTCTTCCTGTTGGAGGTTTTCCAAACCGTTGGCCTCTGGAGTGTTTCCTGTCTTGGCGGTAGTTTAAGTGGGAGGCTGGTCCCTTTCGTGACCTGGGGTCGTTGTTTGGCCGTGTGTTACTCAGAAGGTCTGGAGTCTTTTGTGTTGAGAATATGTCAGCACTAGCAGAACGTTGTAGCCGTGGTGACACGTGTGGACTGGAGAGTTCTGACTCTGACTCTGAGTTAGACAAGGGAGGGAGGGGAGGGGTTACTGACCGGGAAGATGCCTCACTAGGGGTCACATAGTCAAATATACTGGCCTGAACATCCCCTGGGCCCTCACTGCCCAACGTACTGGTGGTAAAACCACCGTTTGTAAATGTCTGGTTATAGTTACTCTCCCTCCCAAATGGATCGTTCATAGAAAATGGAGTGATAGACCTGCCGGTGATCTTAGACTTCAGTCCCACAGGAGGAACATCCTCTCTGTAGTCAGCACTGAAACTTGCTGGTGACTTGGTCCTACTGTCCCTGAGGTCCTCACGGTTGAATGGCTTTGGTGGCACCCCTGGTTTGTGTCTAACAATAGGTTTATTACCACCGTTGTCAGGATATTTTGAAGCTGGCCCTATTGTCAGTCCTGATGGGGATGTACTCTGGGAGGGCGAATTATCACTTTGATCAGAGGATTTCCCGAAGGTCTGAAACGTTGACACACCTGTGTCCACTTCCAATCCTGAATGACTAGAATTTGACCCCTGACCTTGGGTACTTGAACTTTGGCCCATAGGACTTGTCCTTGAACTTGTGATGGCCGGTGCACTGTAACGTCCAGGTAAATCACTACTAACATGTGGGGATGGGACAGCAGGTAGTACAACTTGCTGGAACACAGAAAGAAACATTAAAGGATATGTGCACACATTAAAAATAAATGAAGCATTTTTTTATTTTGTTTACAAATTTTCAAGAGAAGCTAAATTGATTAAGAAAGCTGTTTGATCTTGTAACATAACTTATTAGAACACTTCGAATGATAGTTGATTTTCCTTCAGTTCACAGAAATAAGAATATCTACAAAAAAATGGCCACCATATGTAACTTGTACTGAACTAGATATAACCTTGGTATTATTTCTTACTAAACATCTTTATCTTACTTACAAGAATGATAAATAAAGGTGATATAACGTAATGCTTACCTGTAGGTGGGGGTACTGGTTGTTCTTGGCTGGACTGTTGACAGGTCGAGACATTCCTGGCATTTCTGGTCGCCCTGGACGACCATACATTTTATTCCAAGCGTCCCTCAGCTCAGATCCTCCCATTGGATTTCTGTAGAATTATATAAAGTAGGTCTTAAATTCTGGTACATCTTTCAGAAAAGAAACAACAAAAATATAAGTCAACTTAAAGATGTACGCTACTTTATTACACTTCATCTCCTTTCCAAAATAGTTCCACACTTGATGGCACACCAACAAACATCCATTTATTTAACACTTTGCTAATACATAATGTACTGAACTATTGGTTAAGGCTGATCTACTATCTATTAAAGGCAATATCCTTTACACAAATGAAACATGTGCTAAATACCTTAAGACATTATCTGTCCTTGACTTGATAAAAGAACCAGAAAAGTTGTAAACAGCAGTGTTACTAATATCAAAGACAAGCACGCTGTGAAATGACTTAAGATCTAAGAACTTCAGAATATGTCGCTGTCCATTTGTTTATATTAACTATGACTGTCACCTGTTTATGGGAGGTCCCGGGGATCTGTCCAAAGCGCTGGGTATGTCTGAGAAGGCTGGGTTAGTGTTAGCCCCAGGGTGAGGCCAGTACCTGTTCCCCTCCCCCTGTTCTGGTGGGCCCGCCCCCATCTGTTGTCGGTCTAGGATAGCTTCAGAGCGAGAGCCCTGCCATCGCTCATCTGGCTGAGAGGGCTAAAAAACAGAAAATATTTCATTATATCACATATACACATATGAATGGCTATTTTCCATAAGATATAATTACAAGCAATTGTACCTTTACTAACTGTTTCAGCTAACGTATGTTACCAACAGCTTAGGAAGAGAAATGTTTAGTACATCATTATACACTCCACTTATATCAGTGAAAAGGAAGCACCAGTGACTAGACTGATGCTAAAGTGACAACTGTAAATTATTCTGTTATTTGTACTGTAAGATTTCAACAATAGCACTTTCAAATTGAATTTGAAGTAATTGTTGTTTTACATAAAAAATGCTCTGATTCGGCTAACATTTACGATGTATTCAAATTGAGTTTGAAGTAATTGTTGTTTTACATAACAATTAACCTGTAAATGAATAACTAAAAATGATCTGGTTCGTCTGACATTAACGATGTATTTTTAAAAAAGTTCAATCATTTCTTGGATGTTTTTAAATAAGAAAGTTTGCCAGGTCTTTTAGTTTTTAGGTCACCTGAGACAAAGTCTCAAGTGACCTATTGCGATCGCCATTTGTCCGTCGTCGTCCGTCGTGCGTCCGTAAACAATTTACATTTTCGACTTCTTCTCCGAAACCTACTGAACCAATTTCAATGAAATTTTGCAGGGACCTTCCATGGACAAAGGTCAACAAAAGTCGTGGTCGGTTTAGTCCCAAGCCCCCAGGGGCCTGAGGGAGGGGGCCAAAAAGGGTCAAATTGACTTAAATTTCAAAAATCTTCTTCTCAAGACCCAGATATGGTAGAATCAAATACTCTTCATATATGGAAGGGTCTTAAGGTGCTTTACCGAAATTGTGAATTTGATGACCCTGGGGTCTCACGTTTCCTCCTGGGGAGGGGGTAAACTTTACTATAGTTTATATAGGGAAATCACATTTTGGACCAACATTTGTTTAATTTCCATTGGAAGTAATTCAATTTGGGTTAGCATTATCAGTATTAGGT